GGGTTTGGTGTATTCTAACCTAATAGATGGCTAATCTGGCAAAATGGCTAATACGGCACCCTCCAGGTCTCGATGATGTCGGATTAGTGATAATCAACCTGTACAACAAAACAAACAAAGCCCAGAAAAATGCCAAAATGAATTTTACATACATTCAGGCTAAGGTGTTAACAACGCTATCATGTGAAGAATGCATGACAATAAGTTATGGCTCCCTCAAAACAAAGTATCCAGCTTTTCATCCTAGTCAGCATCCAAGTTCTTTTGCAAGATTAAAATACAAATGGAATTTCATGCTATATATTTCACAAATATACCAGTTAAATCACCAAAAGCATCTTGTATGGACTTCTGTGTCTTTGGGTTGTCCAAATATGCTCTTGGAAGTTGTCATTCATACATGATTGATAGGCTAGGAAAAGCTTGCAAGGAGAAATTGGACATCATTCAACTTACTATATTACAGTGGAAATGACACTTAAGAACAACTCTATTACCAGAGCCATCACACAAAACACCATCCATGGTGGAACCTTAAGAGACTATAAGATCTAGGTACTCATCTTAGTATCATTAACATACATTAAGAACACCTCTCTGTGAAATGTAGTCTTAAAACTGACTTGCAAAATATATATTGGGTTTTAAGATGTTTATCATAATGATCTTACATCAGTAATTTGTTTTTATTTGAAAGCAAAAAGCTAAATGTAATTTTAGGCTTCTTGGCCCAGTTGCATCAGATCTTGTATGTGGTGAGAAGAGATATAAAAATGTAACATTATAATGTAAATGTAAATTCCTTTTTTGTAGAATGTTGTTTAATTGTACAGAGCTAGTTCTACTGTTAATCTACCTTTTATTGTCTTTAGTAAATACTTAGAATATTATTTATTGCATTTATAGATTTTTAGACTTAGGCGTTGTGATCTTGTTTTTAACATTTCATCATTAGTTATTGTACAGTTAATTGCTTACTCACCTATTGTTTATATGATATTTCATATAAGTTTAGTGTAACAAATCATAACTAATTATAGCTGATAGCCATTGTATATTATTTTTGGCCACATGCTTTTATAATTTACCTGTAACAGAAGTTTGAGTTCAGAAATATGGCTACTTCTTTTTCTTTTAATGAAATACAGTTTTGGTTTATTAATTTATAGGCTTGTTTGAGTCCAATTTCTAAACACTCAAAACAAAACAGAAAGAGAAAGAAGAAAAGGAAAAATAAGAGCAAAATTTCATTTGAATACAAGAAAAAGAAGAAAATGAGACCAAAAGCAAAATCAAAGTCAAATGAATGTGAATTACATTTCTCTTCTGAATCTGCAGACTTAAGAAATGAGCTTGTTCCGGAAGACCTAAGTTTATACTCTAAGTCCTCTGGTACTCATTCTTGTATGTCTGAAGAATCAGATTCTCCCTCAGAGCAGGTAACTGGAGCAATAAGGGATCTCAGTTTAAATGAACATTCAGAATCTCCTCAATTCTCAGTTGGGAATGCTGCAAAAAACAAGTGTCACGAAGAGTCAACTTCAGATGACACTCGTAGCTCATTGGTTGAACAAGAAATCAAAGCACCAGTCAAAGAAACCTTTGATTTCTTAACAGAGCAAAAGAACTTTAATCCAAATGAGCAAAGGTTGGGTCAAAGGATCGAAGAAGGAGACCAATCAATTATTTCTTCCCTGGGGCAGAAAGTAGAAGCTAAATATACAGAAGATTCAACTTCTTCATCTCAGCTGGAAAAAACAGAAGATTCAGAAGATCAACTAGTTCCTTTTGAGATCTCTCCAAGATCAACTTGCAAAATCTCAAATAATTATTTAGTGAAATCCAGCACAATTAGGCATGGTTCAAATGAAAGGGAAGAATGTTTACGACCTAGACCATCACAGGTAGGATATTATCAGGTATCATATCCTTGAGAAATTGTATACCCTATTTAATATACTTATTATGAGACAGTAGTATTAGGCCTATTATATTTTTAACATTGCATTCTGTATCTTGTCTCTTAGGGATTTTCAAGAATTAAAAGAGTGTATAATAATAATATTTCAACATTGTATGTTCACTGCATCTATTGCCAATGACACATTTTGTTCAATGAGGTCAGATGGGATACAAAAAGCATGATAGTGGTCAGAATACTATTTTCATAAGCCATTTGTTACAAAAACAATTGTTATGTGTATAGCCTAATCTTTCATCATTAAGAGAAACAAAGCCCTGAACTAAGTTTATAAATTTTTATGCTATCATCTTAAAACCTAGAATTTATTAAGCTATTCATTAAAATAGGAATGGCATTAATGGTTTACTTTTACTAAGTTGGTCTTATGTTTTTATTTAGTTTTAATTAATAAATAAGAAAGCAGTGATTTACAAAAATTCTCGCTTTTGTAAATGAATATAGATAGGTTTTGTATTTCCAAGGTTATCTAAAAAGCATAGCATTATTTTGCACAAGCTGTCATTTCTACAAATTTACCAAGCTCTCTATCAGGTAATTCTAAATGAAACTGAAAATTGCTGAAAAAGTTTACTTGTCTTCCTTTAAGAGTAATGATTATAATTATCCATATATTTACTTAGTGATAAAATGTTGAAAAGATATGTACAGGTATAGGAAAAACTTAAAAAAGATCAGGACTTGAGAATTTCTTTGATGTATATATATATATATATATAATTTAGAGACAACAAAGGAACTGTTGGCACATCTAGGCCATCACATCCACTAAACTAAACTTTAAAATTAAAATAAAACACTGAAACTCAGCCCTTACCAAGCTTTCCCTTAAATTAACTTCATCCACCACATCTGAAGGCAGTTCATTCCAAAGACCAACCTCCCTATTAAAAAATATGCTGTACTAATTGAAAATGACTCCTACCCTGTCAAAATTTATATTTGTATCTTCTAGTCCTACCATTCTCACTACTAAGTGATGATGCATCAACATTATTAATTGTTCTAATAATCTTAAAAATCTTAGTCAGTTCCCATCTAACACTTCTTTTTTCAAGAAGTGTTTTTAACCTATCTATGTATGACAATCTTTCCATTCCAGATATCATTAAGGTAGCCCTCCTCTGAATCCTTTCAAAAAATTCATTGTCCTTGCTTAGATAAAGCATCCAAGACTGTACACAATACTCCAAATGAGGCCTAAGTAATGACTTCTACAATATAATCATAACTATAGTTTTGTGAGATCATAGTTACCATAACAAATTAAATTTTTGACAATTGAAATATCATAAAATATTATTAAAAAAATACTACATATTGATAATTTAAAAACATTAAGATTCTATTTTTAATTATATGATGTTCATATTTTTCTCTAATGTTAAAAACATTTGAATTCTCTCTTTGGGTTTAGAGTTTGGTAATGACAAGAAAACGTCGAATTGCACCATCACTACTCGAAGGTATTATAGGATACAAGCAGGCAAAACTTAACATGCATACCATCACTGCCAAAACCAGTACTTCTAGAAGAATGGGGCCTATAAATAAGCCATCTTACAGGAATCATTCATCAAAGAAATCATCAACATGTAGTTCATCTTCCTCCTCTCAAATAACAGTAGCACTGGTAAGTTTCTGTTCAGAATGCTTTCTATAGGTTTTTTTATGGGATTTACAAATTATGTACAAATATTTGATGAAGAAAAGATTGCTTATTTGAAAATGAAATTAATCAGATATTTTCATATAATTTCTCATTTCGAAAATGATAATTTGAAAAACATCCACTTTTTGGGTATCATAATCAGATAATTTATTACAGCAAAATCTTGATTTCAAAGTAGATATTCTGTTACTCTTAAAGTATAAAGTTACAAGAACTATTTTGTTTTCTTGGTACTTCATCTTTCAGATTATCTAACCACTAGCTTATTATCTTAATTTTGTTAATTTCTCAATTGTTTTCTTTGCTTAACCATCCTCCCATAGACTTATTAAGATTCCTTATGGAATGCTTCTTAAGCTAGACCTAATTTAGTATTGTATCTGATTTCCCTGTCTCACATCACTTTCTTGAGATTTTTGATAAAGAACTATATTTACAAGACCTGAACTAACTTACTCCTTTTTTGGGAGATGAAAAAGACAGGAAACAATTAAGAGAAGGTAAAGTCTGAGCATGAAACTTCCAAAGATACTGTTTATTTTTCCTATTACAAAAATTCAATATTACTTAACTTTCATTAATATTACAGTCAATTTGAAAGTTTCAATAAAAATTATAAAAATGAACTTACACTGACTATACAAGAAAATTATGTACAAAAAGTTTCATTCTCACACTTTTTTATTATATTTTAGTTGAGTGCAATTCAAACCTGGACCTTTAGAGTGGACATAAGATGAATCAATGTTAGTGTATTTTTATAATATTTTTACTGGTATGACTCATGGATTTTACTCATGAGTCAGATAGAAATATCTAAGTCTACATATGCTTCTTACCCTCTAGATTGAGGAAACATACACCAATAAGACTTACAAAATCAATCTATCCTAATCTTGATAAATCTATCAACAACTGTAATGATGAAAAAGTTGTTAGATTAGTTATTTTGCCTTAAATCTCCAGTAAACACTTTAATAATTAATTACTTTTTTGGGCAAGTTAAAGCTCTTTTCACAAGAGATAAAGATATTTAAGTCACAGCATGAAGAACATGATTATTTTTTTTTCCATTTTAACAGATATTGAGTTTAAAGCTTAATCGCTTGGAGTCAACTTGTAAAAACATAGAAGAATACACTCAGTATGTTTTTTTCCCTTTATGGCACAGTGGTACATCTGCAGATATACAGTGCAAGAAACCAGGTTTCGATACCCATGGTGGGCAGAACACAAATAGCCCATTGTGTAGCTTTGTGCTTAACTTCAAATGCATTTCCGATATGGTACATTATCTCCACTTACATAAATAGCTATTCACTTTTAGCACTGCCCTCTATATGCAAAACATTTTTTGCACATGCCACAATCCTTGAAACTCCCACCCATCTGGAATTGATTAATTCTAATGTAACTTGCATGCAAATTATCATGCTACAAACCTCCACCAATAAGAGCATGACACACTGTCTTGATGCATGTGACTCCCTCTATTGATTTCTACCAAACTATCATTTCTCGTTTGGCAGTACTTGTGTTATAACGTTTAATTTATGCTTTCTTCAAGTGTTTTATTTTAATTTTTTTCTGTGTCTTTGTATTAATTTCTCTCAACAAGTTTATACAATAGTGATATTTGTAACTTGTTGAGTTATTCTGAAATGGAATTATTTTATATATCTACCCAGTTATGGAAATTATTTCTTCATGACAAAAACTTTTAATTGTTTCTGCCAACACAGTTGTGTTTGGTTATTCATTTTGCATTATGAATCCTATGTAACCACTTCATAGGTTATATGTTCTATTAGTGCATTTACACAGTCTTCAGGTCATGGTACTCTGCAGGAAGGTTTTTGGCTTTACTTCGTTGGGAGATTGATCATCCAATGAACTGTCTTTTATCAGGCCTCACCTTGAGTTTGGGGGCTCACACATTTGAAATTCAGTCTGCCGACTTTGAAAAGATAAGACGTTATACTGTTATGGTTTTTGAATAATTTTATTGTCAGTGTTTTTTGTCTGTAGTTACTTGGGTTCCATAAGATAAGTTTTATTAGATTGGTTGATACTCATAGCCAAGTACAGGTTAGCAATTAGTCTTAGTTGTATCTTTTCTCCTATACCATTTGCTTAAGTTTACCATGGTCTTTGTTATCTTAGGATCACCTGTAATTCATCTTACTGGTATATCAATAATTAGTTTAACTATGTTGTTTTTTCTTTCATACATCACGTCTCATGCACGTTTTTTTACTACACATTTCCTTAATTTTATACAATCACGTCTATTTCATTTTTGTAGGATACAGTTAATGTTTACATTCCACTTCATTTCTTCAGTATTCCACTTATATTTAGGGATTTTTGTGGGATACCTCCTCCATCTTTCCTCCAGATTGGGGTGTTTTTTTCATCTTCAGTTCATTCCCTCCTTTGCTCTTAGGATCTTCTAGGGACATTGCTGTTTGTTTACCATCCACTGCTATTAGGGTCTTATTGTAAGTTGTTTTTTCTCCACCCGTCCATTTTTGGGGCTACTCCTATATATACATTTAGTGTCACGTGGAGTATCTATAATGCTATATTCAATATTTTTTTTAATTGCTCTTTTGTTTCATTCTGAGATATCGTCATCTTTATTCATTTTATATGTTTGGCACATGCCTGTCCTTTACCTGTCTTACCTACAGGTTTTCTTCATTCGGCTTGTTTGCTTGATGCTGATTGGGGGTTCTGGATCAATTGATTGCACCTCAATTACTTCTTGGGTCTTTCCTGTTCTAATTGGTAGTCTTTGATCACATTTCGGCAGGCTGTTGATGCAGACTGAGAATGTTCATGGTACACATTCTTATCTTCAGTTTTTTTCACCACATGATTGGGTACCAGTTTCGTGCCTTGACATTTTGACTTATTTTGGTTCTATGTCTGTTGTGGAGCAGTCTGCATTTTAACCGACTTCCACCTTTGAGGGATTTTACCAACACCATTCATTTGATGTCTAGCTTCAGTCAGCTCTTCCCAAACAGGGGTAGTCTTAACATACTCTTTTACTCCTTCCACAGTCAGCTTGGGTAGTTGGATTTTCCAGTTGGATAGTTTTTTTCTCTTACATACCTCACATTCTAATCTCTTTGGGGTATGTATTTTTAAACACACCTTCCATTGGGACCATCTCTCTCCTCCTCAAATGCATCCAAAGGTGTTTTTTTTTATTATTATCCAAGCCTTTACTGTGGGTTTACCTTGTAATTTTCAGCTTTCCCTCTTCATCTATGTGCGTTGATGGTTGAACATTTCACTCATGATGTCAGGTTTACTGCTTCCTCCCCCTCTTTTGGGTTGTTTCTCTTCCCTGATTCTCATCTCCAAAGGTGAGGGGTGTGGTTCTATCAGTAGGAGGCTTCAAGGTTTTACACCATTCACACCCAGGGACTTCCACTAGTCTTCTTCTTGTCTGGTTTGATTAATCTAGTTTCATTTCGAATTTTTGACAGTGGTGGCTTATATCACTCACTCTTCTTGTTACCTTTGAAGTAAACAGTAGATTTCCTTTTTTTGAACCCACACACTTGACCTACATCTCCTGGAGGGTCAAGTTCCAGGTGCTTTGTCCTTGTTGCTAATTGACTTTCCAGCCTTGACACACTTTTTCCGAAGGAGTGATCTCTCAATCCTCCTAATTTTTGGTGGCTCTGCCTCCTGTGGGGTACTCCTCCACAGAAAGTTTTTGAATGTTTTATCATTTCCCAGTTAGTTTTGTTTTTGGTCTCTGGTTCACCATCCATTTGCCCTGGCTGCCGTTACATTCAGATAGGTTTACATTATTTTTTTCTCATTCCATAATTCTTCTTCTCCAAATTTTTGTGCATCCATGTCACTCTGGTTGAGATCTTTCTGATTGATCTTTCCTGGCCAGCACTGATTTGGTTTTCTCTGCTGTTTTGCCTCAGTTTGTTTTGGATCGATTTTATTAACATACATTTTAGTGGCTCATTGGTATATTTCTTTCGACTTTATCATTTCTTGCCATCTTCCACCTTTCTTCTCGGTGGGATCCAAATGACCTTCTCTTCCCAGTACATGTGGGTTGCTTCATTGTTTTCAATGCTTATTTTCATTGAGTCCATTTCCCACGTTTCCTTCGCTTACTCCACTTTTTGTCTGTGACTTTTTTCCTCTTCTTCCCCTACCCATTGGGTTTCGATTGCAATTCAATTAGCCTTTTATTTCTTGTCTCCTTCTTCCTGTCATCACTTCCTGGTGTCTTCACTCCGATCATGCACTTTTCCTTTTCTCTACATGTCTACCCTGCCATCTATTGGAGGTATTTTGTATGTTGAGTACTGGGTCTACATTTCGTATGTTAATTTCCCATTCTCTGCTTAGGGTAGCTTTTTTTTTCCTGTTGGAGTACCATCATCTACCTGTTGCCATCCTTCACTCTTTCATGAGATTGTGACTGAGTAAGTGACCTTTTAGTATATATACCTCATCTTTATTCAGGGGGCATGTCCCTCTTTTTCTTTCTGGATCTCAGTCTATGGTGAGTGGTGCTTGACCAGGTATTCTTTAACCATCCAAATCCATGCTGTAAGACCATGTTCGACTTCCATATTATGATTCCATGGCCACGCAAAGCACACTGTGGAGATGGAATGTTCCACAAGATTGCTTGTAGGTTTATTCTCATGATTGGTTTGCTTCATAAATTTGCCCATTCTGGGCCGTAATCACCCATGAAATACATGGGTAAAACAGAAGAAGATAGCTGCCTATCCCTGCCATGTCTTGTTTTGAATAAATTGGTATGGTCTGTTTTTCAAAATAGGGTTTTGTGGTCACCCATTTCACTGCCTTAGGTGTTGTTGTTGTTCCTCCAGACCCTTCGCCATGCTTTCTACCCTTTTTCATATAGTGGAGCTTGAGTGTCTTTACCACTTTCCAGTTCCAAGCCACTTGGGTGGTGGACCATGGAGGCAACAACCTGAATGTGTTAATGGAATATAAATAATATATATAAATTATTATAAAACCATTCAGTTGAGAGTATGGCAGTGGTTTTCTGCTGGTGTAGATGACGAGATATCTTCCACTATGTAACATAGGAATGAGCCTTGTCAAAATTGCAGTTCATCCCTTCAATTAGGGATCTCTCATTCTACCCCCATGTGAATGTTGGTTCCCGGTGGCTGGGTTTTGCATTTAGAGCTGAACCAATTAACATATAAGGCCTCACACATGTATTACAGGTGTCTCTATTCCCTCAATCAATTATACTCATGTTCCTCCATCTGCATTGTGGGTCACAGTGGAGGTACTTGCAGATTACTGCAGTTCTTCCCTTTCCACTATCCCTTGATGCTTATTATTCTGAGGATGTTACTGTGCGTGGGGTGGTTCTGGTCATTATATATTTGAGTGAGATGGTTTACATTACACAGACATCTTTTTGACAGTGGATGTTGGGTTCCCGGATCAGTCATTCAATTTCTCACATTGCTATCATGTGTCTGTTCATAGGTTGAGGGGTACAAGATTTATTCCGTTCTCATGAACATGAGGTGAAGATGGTATGACCCTCTTTCCTACCCCCACCCGATGGCTTAGTTTTGGATTGTAGTTGACGTGCCACTGGTATGATTCTCTTTCCTACCCACACTTGGATGTCGGTTCTCGATGACCTGGGTTTTGGATCGTAGTTGACGTGTCGGTGGTATGATCCTCTTTCCTACCCCCACACAGATGTCAGTACCTGGTGGCTTGGTTTTAGATTGTAGTTGTGTTACTGACAGTATGATCTTCATCTTCCCCCTGCATGGATGTCAGTTCCCAGAGGCAAGGGTTTTGGATGTAGTTGACTTGCCATGTATGGTCCGTTGTGCCCTAGCCACTCTACATGTAGAGGCACATCCTTTAATCTCACCCACTTTTATGATTGAGTTTAATATATAATGTATTGTTTGGATCACTATTCTGCCATAATTCTCCCATTTGGATGTGCTTCTCCATCTTTCTGCTCATATATGCAACATCTTTCCACAATGGATGAAGAGTATACGTAGTTCAGAAGTGGTGCAGTCTCCCATATAAGATCTTTGACCCTGAAGATCTCCTTTTGGGGAGTGTCCTTCAGACGCTTTTGAAGGATACTTCTTTCTTTACCCTGCATTGGTCCCTCCACCTATTCAGTGTGGAATTATAGCTATTTATGTGAGCAGAGGTAATGTAGTGTATCAAAAGTTATAATTTGCCTATGCTGAAATTGTATTTCCAATAGGTACTTACCTTCTCTCACACTTCCCACTCTTCCTCCCCACTGATAACTAGTGCTTCCATTTTCTGGTGACACTCAAAGTGATAGTTCAGTAGAATTGAATAGAGGGAGTCACATGCATGAAGAGTGCATCATGCTATTATTGGTGGAGGGTTGTCACATGATGATTTGCATGCAAGATGCATTGGAATTAGTCAATTCCAGATGGGTAGAAGTTTCAAGGCTTCTGATGTGCAAAAAAAAAAATGTTTTTGAATATAGAGGGCAGCACTGAACGAATATAGCTATTTATGTAAGTGGAAGTAAGCACCTATTGGAAATACATTTTCAGTACAAGAAAATTATAACTTTCAAAATAGTATACACACAATTTGTGGATGTACATGCAAATGATCATAAGAGATTGTATATAAAGCACATATTTAACTTGTAATGGCCCTAAGTATTTGACTAATTCCATCATGAATTTCTAACAGGATAGATAACACTTGATTCTAGTGATCATGTAGCCACTTTATTCTGAGAACATCCTTAGACCTCTTGTCTCAGATATTTTTCGGGCTAAAGGCAGTGAACTATAATCCAGAATGTTTTAGTAGAAACCTCAAATTTCAGGACTGAATAAGTTGTTATACATGGAGAATAGATTATGGAAGGGTTGGGTGTGGCCTAGTAAATAACATGCTCAGACTGTGAACCTGAAGATTCATGGTTAGTGGCCCTTGCTGCAAAGTATGTGCTCTGTCATTTGAGGATGTTGATGTGTCATAACAGTGATTCTCAAATCCATCTATTTGGTCAGGCAAAGAGTAGCCCAAGAGATGGATGTTGGTGCTGTTGATTAGCTGCATTCCCTCTATTCTGTCATTTTGAAATTAAGGACAGCTATCAACAGATAGCCATCGTTTTTGTAGCTTTGTACAAAAATTCTGAATCTCTTCTGTCCATTGTTTTCAGTGCCAGAAAGGTGAGGATAGGCAGTTGAATTGTTGTTCTTCTTTGTGTAGACTACAATACCAATGCACCTTCTACTTGTACAGTGACACACTTAATTTATTCTCTCCTGGATTTGGCTCACCACTCTTTGCACTTGTTTCATATTTTGGTCTTTTACCATGAGCTGCAGAGCCAGTGTCCTGTAACATTTGCAGTTTCCTCTTTTTCTGCTTACCTTTGAGTTGGCCAGAGCCTTTGAAACTACTGACCCATTGCTCTGGGCAAACCTCCTTGAAGCTTTCTTGGTCCTCTAGGATTTCAGGGTTCTTTAACTCTTAATAACTCTTTTATATTTGGTAATATCTCATTCTTCAGAGATGTTGGGATTGCCATCCCCTTTTTCTGAGCCTCCATGGTGGCATCCTGAGCTAGGAAGCCAATGTCCCATGGCTCTTGGCATTGCCTATGAGAGTTTTCTGTTGCTTGAGATAGAAGTACTAGTCTCCCCTAACATCGAAAGGTTCTTCAAATTCTTTTGATGCACTTTGTCATCAGAGCTCTATTACACTGCTGTAAGCATCTCAACAAATGCTTTTTACTTCAAATGCTAGTGCACCAAGGTCCAATAGCTGGAGGTTTCCTTTAAGATACTGGTGATGTCTTCCATGGCCACAAGCACTTGGAATATCATCACATTTCTCTAGGCATTTCCATAAATGTGTCCTGGTTCTACAGGCCAGGGTGCTTGTGTGCTGTAATTCATGCTAATTCCTTAGGTATAGGTAATATCTTTTACTTACAGAGACCCTGAGACTGCAGTACCATTGCTCTGAAAGTTTTCACAACATTCCTAAAGCCCTGAAATTAGAGAGCATTTGTCTCTTAACTCTCACTGTCTTGTGTATGTAGGCATTCTCCACAGCCAGAGATTCTGAGACTGCATCCATTGTTTTGGAACCTCCACAGAAAAGTTTCAGATCCATAAGCAAAGGGGTTTGTGTCCATTATTTTTGCCAATACCTCAAGTCCAAGTGATGTTTACTACTATTAAAGATTTTAATTGCTGTAATTTGACTATTGATATCCTAATTAAATTTTATTTCAGTATATTAAGAGTTCAGTGTTTTTGTTTTTTATTAAATTAAAATATCCTAGGAAAAGCAGTAGTATTTAGATTTTATTCCAGCACAGTAAATTCAGTTTAATGGTTCTCACTCTTGTTTAGGACATTTTTAATCCTGAAGACAGAGAACTTATGTCTGATAGTAGCAACAAAGAAATGGATCAGGACTCAGCACAAAAGCTTTTGGTATGTAGCATGATGCATTCTTGTAGTGAAAAATCTACCAGTTGATTAGCATTTGTTGATTATTAGCTCACTGAAGTGAAATAACTACACTTTCATATATATGCTTTAAAATCAGAAAACTTGAATAATGATTACTTGTACAGTGACAAACTAGACTGAATTTGATGAATAAGCTAAATTCATTTTAAGCTAAATTCAATACGATCTTTATTTTTTAATGATTTTTTGCTAAATGTTTTTATGTATTATTCCAGTAAAAAACATTAAAATTATATATCTTGCAAATTGACATACATTTGATTAAGGAAAATTATTGTTGCTTCTTTCCACATTTTTATTGCCATTTATACAAACCTAAAAGTTTTGCTTAGTAAAATTAATGATATGATAAAGTCATTGTGTATAGCCCCCCAGTGGCACAGCGGTATGTCTCCGGACTTACAATGCTAGAAAGCGGGTTTCGATACCCGTGGTGAGCAGAGCACAGATAGCCCATTGTGTAGCTTTGTGCTTAACTTCAAATAAACAAACAAACAAACATTGTGTATATCAATCGGTATGTATGTTAATACCCTTTCTTTCTCTTTCTTTATCTAGATATACACACATAAATATATAGTTTCCGTATATATATATTATTGTATATATAACTCTGTTATTATAATGCACATCACTTACTACCATGGGATTTCAAATTTTACAGTAAAAATTCATTAACTTAGTAGCTTAGATCAATCTAAGTATAGCTCACAATTCAGCAAAGTATCAGATATATCTTTACACAACTAAACAAAACCTTTCTAGCTGAACTTTAACTGAAACAAATGTAGTATGTAACATTGAATACATACCTAAGTGATTATCATTTGTTTTCTTAGTTCTTAATAACACAACTAGTTATATTGCACGCAGTTGCTGTAATACAATAGTTCATAATGTCTCAATCTTGTTTTGCCCTCCAGTGATTGAGCTGTAACTCTGAAGAATTATAAAGCTAAAAACTGGATTTGAATACATGTGGTGGGCACAGCAAAAAATAGTCCGTAGTGTAGCTTTGTGCTTAATTATAAACAAGTCTCACATTTTCATCTTTCATATTGTTGTAGTATAGATCTTCAACTAATTGAAACAAATGAACCATGTAACAGTGCCTTATGATTGTATACATAATTAATCATAATTTCAATTCGTAGTTTGTAATGACTCATATGACAACACATAATATTTCATGGAGGTTAATAATGTAGTTCAAATTCCAATGTCTCAATATTCCATCTTTCAAACTGTTTCAGTATAATTCCAATTTGATAGCAGTTGTGTGGTTAAGTATTCTGTTGTTTGGTTATATTACCAAAGATTAAGTACTCTGATAATGACCATAAGATAGTACCATTTAAAATAGTTTATGCAACATAAAAAACTTAATTTAACCGTTTTATGTCTGTATCAGTATATGTTGATGCCTTTTTTATCATTTTAAGATTAACTTCCTTCACAAGACTGCAGAAAATTTCCTGTTTGTCAGACTTTCTCTTGCACCATCAAATTAAATGCACAACCTATGAATTATGTTTCCTAAGCCATGAATATGTTAGTTTATTTCCCAATACATGAACTTTGTTAAGCATATACAGTTGCTATGTAAACATCTATATTGGCTTTCACTACCTGACTGATGACCATCTGTGTTTACATTTTAACAGGGGTGTTCAAACTTTTTTTTTTTTATATTTCAGGATGCAAGTGTAGGAGAAATCATATGGGCAAAACTGGGCTCTACCCGCTGGTGGCCAGCTATAGTCATTTGGGGGACTGACTGTGGGCAGCCACCTGCTCATCCTGGCCAAACGTGGGTGTTCTGGTTTGGTGATCACAAAATATCAGAGGTCTGTGATATACTGCATCTTCTTCTCAGTATTAATTAATTAAACAAGTTTCAGTTGAAGAAAACACATATGAAAATATTTTTCATTTCTTAAATTTTTCTGTTTTTGTGATTGCTTTGAGGGTCTATTTTAATCTTGGAAATATATCAAGAAACTTATACTTTAGGCTAGCTTCATGCTATATTTATTTGTCTTAAGATTTATTTATAAAACTAGTTGATCTTGTAGCTCTCCAGAACAGAAATGTCTGGTAGCTAAGTCTTCTTACAGTCTTGTAAAATAGGTGCTGGGACATAAAAACACAGAAACATTAAAGAATCACACTTGTGGACATGTTTATGTAACCAATGTTATGATGATCCAGAAACATAAAATAATCAAGCTTATAGATATGGTGCTGTAACCACTATTATGATAATTCATAAACATAAAAGAATCACACTTGTAGATGTGGTGCTGTATTCAATATTATGATCATTCAGAAACAGAAAAGAATCATGCTTGTAGACATGGTGCTATATCCAAAATTATGATGATCCAGAAACATAAAAGAACCATACATGCAGACATGGTGCTGTATCCAATATTATGATGATCCAGAAACATAAAAGAATTATACATGCAGACATGGTGCTGTATCCAATATTATGATGATCCAGAAACACAATTGTAGAGATGGTACTGTAACCAATGTTATGATGATTGAGAAACGTAAAAGAATCACACATATAGCCATGGTGGTATAAACAGTGTTATGATGATTGAGAAACATAAAAGGATCACTCATAGACATAGTGCTGTAACCAGTGTTATAATGGTTCAGAAGTATGAAGGAATTATAATTGTAGACACAATAATCTAGAAACACAAAAGAATGACTTGCAGACATTCAACTTTTGTTTACTTTTCCAAACAAAGACCAGTAGGAGGCTGTACAATCTTACTAAATTTATCATTTTTTAGAAACTGTCTGTTGGATGAACTCACTATATGGTATCTCTAGTACATATAACAACCCTCATTTTTTGATGGAACAATATATTATATTGTTACGACAGTGGAAGTCACGCGACGTTGAGAGCACGTGTGCTGGAGTTTCTCGATTGATCATGAAGGCCCGAGTGCATTCGAGATGCCCTCTTTTTAGTATATAAGCCTGGTGAGAAAAACCAGTTGCATCAAAGAGATAGATTGAAGAGATAGATAATTGAGTCAAGTGAACAGTAGGCACCGTAAGTAAAGTATGTGAATCACTGTGATTT